TGATTTTATTTAACTGACCTTAACTATCAACTGTTCTTGGAGACCTGTGTAGCATGTTTGGGTTTTAAGACAGGGGTGTCAAATATGCGGCCCGGGGTCCAGATCCAGCCCTCCAAGACCTTTAATGTGGCCCTCGGCTGATTTTCTACTACAATATTTTTATTATATTTTCTATTAAAATATTGGTCATTTTCTGCGCTGCTTATCATAGCAGCGTCTCCAGTGCCTCTGTACGTGGCCCCTCCCACCAGAGCAGCACAAATGAAGACTTGTCTCTTTCCAAACGCTCTTAAAGGACGATCGTTTTGACTGTTGACCGTGACACCCTCATCAGCAAAAATGTCAAAAATGAGAAAAGTGGAGCCGAGTGCAGGATTTTCCAAAAAAATTGACTTATTCCTGTTTGCATACAAGTTAATGTTAAAACATTGTGTTGAAATTGCATTTTTCATAATATGGGTTGTTCATAATATTATAATATTTTGTAAAAGAAAGAGTTCATCAATTAAAAAATATTTGTAGATCTGTAATAGATTTGCGTTTCTCTGCACAAATATTTGAACTTATTGCTATTTTTGGCCTTTATATGCCATGAGTTTTCTGATCCGGCCCCTTTGGGATCAAAGTAAGTTTGATACAGCCCCCGGACCAAAATGAGTTTGACACCCCTGGTTTAAGAAAATACTTTTCTCTTTACAGTTGATAAATGTGATGCTGAATTTTACAAGAACAAAGTGGAACATGTCACTCCCACTTTTTTATTTGTCACTTTAGATGTAACTGAAGTACTGTGATGTGGTATCCTCAAATTTACTACAGTAATACACAATAAAATACAGTAATATACAATACAATACAGTATATAGAGTATGATACAGTAAAACAGGAAACTACAGAGAACTACATGACAAAATAACTGTTATTAAGCACTTTTAAATCTGACTTCTTCTTATTCTGACAATTCTAAAAAGGAAACAATTTGCGATTTTTTTTATGCCTCTCCACATACAATATGTTCGCTGCAAACTTGGGATGATTTCTTATGCAGCCAAAGGTTTCCTTTTTCGTCCTTCCTGTGGATCAGTACTGCCCATCGCCTTCACCTTTCACTATTTTTTAATTCCGTTGGGAAGGGAAACAGTTTGAACGGAGGTTTGCAGTCACACAGATCTGATTCCCTTTTGCATTTATGGAGTTGCAAACTTCCAAAGCCCGTTTTCCACTGATAGGACAACCAACAACCACACAATTACCATGTCCGAATCCCAAAACTAAAATATGACAATATCAGAACCAGAAACAAACACGATATGGTTCAAAAAACTAGAAAAGATCAGCTTTGACAATATATACATCCCTCTGGGAAATCAAACATGGCGGTTTGATGCTCACTGTTTTTGATCTCACTGAAATATTATTCAATGACTCTTGATTTGCACATGTAGGTTTCAACAATAAAAACACAAATTCCACCAACTATTATGAAGAGGTTGGGTCTCTGAATTCTGCGGTTTTGAACAGGAAGTCTGGACCCTTTTCTATTATCAAGCCGTTTTAGCTCGATATTGTGGTTTAAAATAACGATCTAACGCACATATTAAAGTGTAATGCAAATACCCAATAAAAGCATTTAACACTGCACAAAGGAGCGGGGGTCTGTATGAACGTGAATGTAAGTGGACAGCGTTATCGATCACCACATCACATTCAGAACATCTTCTCCATGTCATGTCCACATCGTGTTATTGATTGTAACATGTAATTCTCCCACATCAGCATTAAGCAGACACAGTGGAGAAACATAAAGGCTGTATTGCATAAGTTAATTAGTGTATTCCCCGGAGTGTGCACTTATAGAGTATAGGACGGACTGCTGGAGACACCGACCCCAGCCACGGGGGTCAGAGGTCAGTGTGTGTTTTCAGTCCGGAATCTACAAACTCATGTATTTTATATACAGAGGTTAAAGGTGCAGCGTGTAACTTCTCTGGTGGTGTATCCCCTACAGTCTTCTTCCTTGTATGTAATATTTATTTTAGCAACAGCGTAACAAACAGAAAGTGGTTCAGAGATAAATGCAATCTGTACAAACTGAGTCGCAGACTGACTCGTGTACAAATTAAACAAGTGTTTAATTTTTATTTGCCATCTAAAACATATCTAGAGTTGAGTTTTGTTTCTTATCCTCACAAAACTACAGTGGTTGCACCATGGTCCTCACTTTCTTTTTGCATTTTGTTTCCATACTGTATTAAAAATGACCTGAACCGTGACCTCAAAACTGAGGTACATGCCGAACCGTGACTGTACCATTACACCCTTAATAGTTTCAGCTCTGGAATTGCAACTCTCTACTTAACAAAAGGTAAAAGGTAACCGTTAACTTGAAAACTACAGCTTCATGACACCACAAGGTGTAACAGCATAATCTGTGTATCATTCGTTCATTCATTTTTCAATATACAACCAAAAATAAGAAAATGAAAAAAACAACAGTTTTCTTCATTATTTGTCTCCAAAACCAAAATGAAAAAACAGATAACGATTTGTTTTTTCAGTTTTCGATTTTGTGTTTAATTGAAAAATGGAAAAAACAGATAACAGCCTTTAACGTGACTTCCGTGACTTTGATGTCAGACTTTTACACTGCATACGGACTGTACCAGGACTGATCCAGGTCCGGGACCAGAGCGGGACCAGACTGGGACCAGAGTGGACTCTGAGCTTTGACACCGAGCCTCCACAGGGTCCGAGCCCCAGCTTCGAGTTCCAGCTCTGCCGTGGGCTCTGAGGATCCGGTCTGGACCCATTCTAGTCCTGGTCTGGTCTCGGTCTCAGTCCCGGTCTGGTCCTGGTCTCAGGGTGCTTTTACACAGACAGTATTTGGTGCGCACCAAGCTGTCCATTCAAACCAAAAGCTCTTAGTTCGTTTATTTGCGTTGGTGTGAAAGCTTCAATCGGACCGCACCCGCACCAAATCAAACGGACCACATCAAGAAAGAGGTGGTCTCGATTCACTTGAATCCGTTCCTCTGGTGTGAACGTGAACTCAGGTCCAAACCAGAGACAGCAGGTCCAAATGAACTATTCCAACCTGCGGGAGCAGCTCCGGTTCAGGCCGGGCTCAGATGAGCTGGAGCGGGGAGTGGTGTTAGGAGCCTCGGCCTGAGAAGCACTTTTCCCGGGGAAGAACCAAATGCGCGGAGGACAAATGGTGAAAACAATAACCAACCAAACTGGACTCACGCTTCTGTCTGGATGCTTTGCACTCATTATACACATTACTTTAAAGCTCAAGTACCGTGAAATCTAACTGGATGATGCTACCTCTCACAACCCCTTTGGCATGCTAATATACATTTTTTTTTGCCTCTAACTCAGCTTTAGAAGAGCGTTTTTAGATGGAAAAGTGAAGCAGGGTGGACCATCAATGTAAAGTTCTTTCATATGAAGTTAGATGACAGTGGAGTTGTCTGGTTTGTCACAAGGTTCTGCTTTAACAATGTGTATGAGGTCATTTTTGTTTTATTCATTTATAAAGAAAAAGAGTTCTTCAGCTTTAAAGGGGATGTATTATGCAAAACCAACCTTCATGAGTTTTTAATCGTGTTACTTTGGCGCTCTCTCATTACAAAAGCTTACAAAAAAGTTGTATTTTCAATGATTCAAGGCTGATTTTTCCTTTGTTGTCCTGAGTTTGAAGTCTGGATAACCATTCTTCAAAAATAAAAAATTCTCAGTTCTGCAGTTTTGTTAAAAGAAGTCAATAGAAAGTAGAACTGCTTTCGATTACTGAGTCATATTAGATCAGATTCTTTTGCAAGTTATAAATAATTAGGACTGGGCAAAAATAAAAAAAATATTATTCACATTAATCACATATACAAAAAAAAAAAAACAATTAATGAATTCAAAAGTAGTGTATAGCCCACTTTTATTGGAAATGTAAATGAAAGTGCCACACATCTGTTATGCAAACAGCATTTCTTTATACAGTAGCAGGGCACTAGTTTGTAAAGTCCATGTTTATACTTACTACTATACTATCTTACTCTAAAAAAGAACCAATTTCAGTGCAGTTTGTCAATTTCTAGAATTTAAATTAATGAACTGAATTGAAAAGTAAAGTGCATGAGATCAGTAGCAGTAAAATAAAGTATTCAGTGTAAATCTCAACTGTAAAAATCAAACCAAACCAAATACAAAACTGAAATGTATTGCCACTGCCAGGGCATTAATGTTGTCCTGTCTGATATAAAAATGAGAATCTCAGTCAAAAACAGTCAACAGAAAACAGTACAGTTTGTCAATTCCTAGAACTTTTTTTTTTTTTTTTACTTGCTTTACTCTTTACTTTACTCGCTGGCACTGGCTTCTCGCAGAAGAAAAGTGAGACTGGGGTAGAAGGTGTGGGGGTTGCTACGAAGAGCAATTGACTGCACAATGATGCCCCTAAACGCTCTTGGTGCCCTACACGCTGTGCGTAAAATGTGTGTGTGTGTGTGTGGAGCGACAGCTCTGACACTTTGCATCTCATGTGGTCGGCCAAAGCCTCGCTTCACTTGTTTCATTGAATGATTTGCATCAGCTGAGTGTGTACCACCATGTAGGTGGTATTTTAGACTCGTGAAACTCCGGCGATAAAACAATTCAGTGTTGCAGTGTTACAAATGAGTTTGGCTGTGTCGACTGCGCCGTCTGGAAGAACTTTAAAATGAAAATGACCATGTCAAACTTTCTTACCCTTCTCCATGTTTATTTATCCTGCTTTCGCAGCAGTAAGCAACATTCTAGGCTCACTCACAATTGACTTTTTCAAAATAAAAGCCAGTGAGCAACAGATGTTTACAGTAAAAAAATAAAATAAAAACTGCGTTAAGGGGAGAAAAATGATTGTTAGCGATAATGAATTAATTAGTTAACAAAAAATGAACACATTAATGTGCCCGGCTCTATGAATAATATACAATAAGTAATAATAAGTAACACCATGTCCTTACCTGTATGGACACATCGCTGTATGACCCCCCGATGACCCCTGAGATGGCGAGCGGGACGTCGTCGTGAATGGCGTAGGATCCGTCCGGGCAGGTGTACTCGCTGTCGTCCACTTTGGTCAACGAGGCCCTCACGAACTCCAGACTCTGCTCCAGCGCGTACGTATCTTTAGAGCAAGTGTCCAAAATGTGCGCCCCCAGCCTCATCCCCGGCAGGATCTTATCATCTTTATTTATCTCATCTAGCGCAAGCAGCATCGCCTCGAGTCTCTGGATGCCTCTTTGGGCGTTTATTTTCCCGCAATCTTCAGCTCCTTCGCCTTTCTGATGCACGGGGAACAGTCCGCCGATCATCAAATCGCCCTCTAGCGTTATCTCCTTCTTCGCGTCCATGTTGTAGCCAACCGCTGGTAAAGCATTGGCCGTATGTGGAAAGCAAAAAACTTAAACTTAAGAATAGCAAACTAAAGCGGGGCGTATGAGCACGGAGGGGCCCGGAGTGCACCCCCACCACAGGGCGTCTCGGTGCAGGCATGTCCTTGGAGTTCGCTGGCCTTTTCTGGGGGTCTCGCGTGCTTTGATTGTGCGGATAATGAAAGGAGGTAGTTGAAAGGGTCCGGAGCTTAAATCAGGGGTTGTTTGATGGGGATAGAAGCCATTATTTTAGCGGTAGCAGCAGTAGCATCGCTCTGGTGGCGTCTTGTTGTTGAGATGAGAGCCTGTAGATCAAACACACAGACAGTCAGGGCATTGTTTCGTTCACATTGTGTTTGGATCAGAGGCATTAGACTGGAGAGTTACACATGAAGCTGTACGAATGTGTAAAAGTGATCTTTGTTTTTGAAAAGTTTTGTGTTGTGCGGGCTTTTAACAAATAATGTCAGATGTTTGTCCAAAATTGTTTGCGTCTGTGCATAAAAGGCTGTTACGCTCACAGGGTACATATTTCTCTACTTTCTGATCTGTTATAATGTTGTTTCCTTGTCAAAAACATATCTGGAGTTGTGTTTTGTTTCATTCACACATGTTTAAAGGTGCATTGTGTAACTTTTCTCGTGGAGAGTCCGTCAAATGCTTTTCTCCATGGAGATGTTATTGCTTTGCCTGGAATGTTTCACAGTATGATATTAAACTTTTCTGTCTTCATGGAGATCAAACCAACCTGGAATTTACCTGTAATGTAATAAATGTAAAGTAGAGCTGTTTAATGTCACACTGTGGAACATTCCAGGCAGGGCAATGACATGTCCATAGAAACAAGCAGGTAACAGAACCCCAACCAAAAAGTTACATAGTTCACCTTTAGCTCACAAACCCTGCATATTTAGGTTGATTTCTTTGTATCACACTGAAACGAATCACAGAATCACCGTGTCGGAAACGATTTGCATTTCCAGACACATTGTTTCTGTGACCGCAAGCCTTCACTGTCCACACAGCTTTGAGCATATTTGTTTACGTTTTACAGAAACAAAACTTACAACAGCATGGCTCATTTGCATAAACTGAGTGATCAAAAAACAGCTTGCTATTGTGCGCTGATGTGGTTCAATTTGTGTCAGATTAAAGGACATGACTCAGTGGATTATATGTGTTCTTTCTGTGAGGGGTGTTCTGCTGATGGTGAGTTTGTTCTGTGCATCTATTGCGTTACAGATGGTTCATGTTAAACTTTTCTGAGATTATACGTCTGCAGGTCATATACATAGACTGTATATATGAATGGACATATATTCTAGCCTCTTAGCGTTTTGGCGGTGAATCAACATCAGCGTATCGACGTTTTCAGGCGTTCACGCAGTGCCGGATCAGATCCATACTCAGATGAATTTGTGGAACCGTCTCTGGAGCCGTTTTCAATCGGATTAGTGTGGATGAACACTGCCTTCGCAATGAAAACGACTCAAATATGTACTAGTGTGGGCGGGGCCTCAGACAAAAAACATTTTGTTCCACCTTGCGATGTCATGCAGTAATACAGGAAGTACTTCATTATGTTTTTAAACTCCATACAAGTACACTAGCATCATTTTGGATTTTGCATCCCTATGAATGTAAATGTAACTGTTGACTTGAAAACTATGACTGGATCAAATTAAGCCCTTGAGCAAGACACTTCACCACTTTAGTTATGGCACCATGTAGTTGATGTGATAAAAAAAAAAAAAAAAAAAAAAAAACTATTAAAAAGTGATCAGTCAGTGCCAAAGAGCAGTGTGCATTCCAATGTGTAGATGTATCCTAAAGCCATTTACATTTACATAAACATCTCAGTGCAAAACCAAGTCCAGTTCTGCAGCAGAGTTCACCAAGGACAACATCACAACAACATCACAACGTTTGTTTCTATATGGTTTTCCTTCAATAACACTCTCTCTCTCTCTCTCTCTCTCACTCTCTTTCTCTCTCTCTCTGTGTGTCTCTCTCTCCCCCATCTCTGTCTCTCTCTCTGTGTCTCTCTCTTGCTCTCTCTCTCTTCCTCTCTGTCTGTCTGTCTCTGTCTCCCTCCGTCTCCCTCTCTCTGTGTGTCTCTCTTTCTCTCTCCCTCCCTCCCTGTCTCTATCTCCCTCCCTCTCTCTGTCTCTCGCTCTCTGTCTCACTGTCTCCCTCTCTCTCTCACTCTTCTCTTTCTCTCCCTATCTCTGTCTCTCTTTCTCTCTCTGCATGTGTCTCTCTCTTGCTCTCTCTGTCTCTATCTGTCTCTCTCTCTCTCTCTGTGTCTCTCTCTTTCTCTCTGTCTCCCTCTCTCTGTGTCTCTCTCTTTCTGTGTGTGTCTCTCTCTTGCTCTCTTTCTCTATTTGTCTCTCTCTGTCTCTCTCTCTGTGTGTGTCTCTCTCTTTCTGTGTGTGTCACTCTCTTGCTCTCTCTCTCTTTCTCTATTTGTCTCTCTCTTTCTCTATTTGTCTCTCTCTCCCAATCTCTGTCTCTCTCTTGCTCTCTCTTTCTCTATCTGTCTCTCGCTCTGTGTCTCTTTATGTCTCTCTCTCTGTGTCTCTCTCTGTCTCTCTCTCTCTGTGTCTCTCTCTTTCTGTGTGTGTCTCTCTCTTGCTCTCTCTCTCTTTCCTATTTGTCTCTCTCTGTCTCTCTCTTTCTGTGTGGATCTCTCTTGCTCTCTCTCTCTTTCCTATTTGTCTCTCTCTGTGTGTCTCTCTCTGTGTGTCTCTCTCTCCAAATCTCTGTCTCTCTCTGTGTCTCTCTCTTGCTCTCTCACTCTTTCTCTATCAGTCTCACTCTCTGTGTGTCTCTTTATGCCTCTCTCTTTCTCTCTCCCTCTCTCAGTGTCTCTCTCTCTCTTTCTCTATCTGTCTCTTTCTGTCTCTGTCTCTCTGCTTCTTTCTCTTTCTCTCTTTCTCCCTCTCTCAGCATCTTTCTCCCTCTCTCTCTCTCTCTTTCTGCCCCTTTGCCACTTTCAGATAATCCCCGTACGTCTCGACCGACAGTTTGTGTAAATCACATTAACTGCCTTTTTCCACCATACAAAACACAATTATGAATGAATAAAGTGCTTGAAAACAAACTCCATTTCTTTGTTAGTTAGAAGATTAAAAAGTGCATGAATGCGTTTTATTTGAAGTCCAACATTTACCAAAACATTCGTATTGAGACGTGAGTCATGCTGGGCTCTGCTCCTGAATCACAAATATCTGTTGTTTGTGCTTGAAAGGCGTGTTTTTCTCCAAATGAGGGAATCCTGCGTCTTCTGGGTCAGATCAGGAAAAACAGGGAATAGAAAAGAAATGAGGAGTGTTATTGTAACGAGAATCACATGGAGACCTCTGACAATCCATGTTTCCTCATCTATAGTAGCTCACGTAGTAACTGAAAGGTTATTGTTTGGCTCTAGTTAATGATTGCTGTTGTTGTGTCCTTGAGCGAGGCATTTCACTCAGACTGTCAGTATGAATGTGTGGGTTTCTATGTTCTAATGTTGTTTTCTCATCACAAACAGACCTGGAGTTGTTTGTTTCATTCACACATGCTTAGTACACAAACTCCGCATTTTTAAGCTGTGTTTTTCACTCAAATGTAAAATTCCACTGTTTGATGTCATGTGGGAATACAGTAAGTCTCCACTGTGTTTTTAAACTCCATACAACTTCAATAGAATCATTCAGATGATTTTTTAACCCTGGAATGACCAGTCTCTTCTAAACTAAAAGTAAAAGGTGGATGTTAATTTGAAAAGTACCACTGCATGACATCACAAGGTTGAACAGAGTATTTGGAGCTTTGGAGATGTAGACAGGCTAATAAACTACTCAAAGATTTGTGAATAAAATTTTGTGTAATATAAGACCTTCAATATTTACCAGTGTTGTTGCACTTTGAGAAGATTATGATGATTGTAAAGTGTGAACATTATTGAGCCGTTGTGATGAAGAGGAAGCTGAGCTGGATTTACTGGTCAAGCTATGTTCCTATCCTCACCTGGTCATGAGCTTTGTGGTAATGACCGAAAGAACAAAATTGTGGATTAGAGATAGGGTGAGGAGGTCAGTCACACGAGAGGAGCTCGGAGTAGAGCCACTGCTCCTCCACGTTGATAGGAGATAGCTGAGGTGGCTCGGGCGTGTGTTCCGAATGCCTCCTGTTCTGGGCAGGTCCTACCAGAAGGAGACCCTAGGGGAAACCCTGGACACGCTGGAGGGACTATGTCTCTCAGCTGGCCTGGGAAAGCCTTGGGGTCCCCCTGGAGGAGCTGGACCTCTGTCCAGGGTGAAAGAAGTCTGGGAGTCCCTGCTTAGACTGCTGGTCCCGTGAGCCGTCCCCGGATAAATGGAAGAAAATGGATGGATGTTAGAGTGTGAAATGACTCTAATCCATGACATCTTTATTTTATATTTTGGTCACACGTGTCTTGAAACTAAAGGACACATGTAGTTCAGGATAAATGGTTTGTCCATAGTAAACCAATAAAAAGTCTATAAAGGTGCAACATGTATTTTTCTGGTGGACAGATCTTCTGGTTTCCACTGAGATATTATTGCTATATTCGGGAATGTCCCACAATATGGCATTAAACCTATCTATCTCCATGGAGCAGGTGTCACCAGCAGGTCAGATATATGAAGAGGAAAGCCCGCTCACAGTAAATTACAATGTCATTTTGAATAATAGAAACACCTGCAATTGAATAAAAGCATGATAAATAACTAATGTCATACTGTGGAACATTTCAGGTAATCTCCACAGAGACAAGGAGGAGGCGTACTTTCCCCAAGACACAAGTAAATTACACAGAGTAAAATGTGTATAAA